TATGTTATTTTTAGTTCAATAAAAAATGTTTTGGTTACAGAAGCAACACATTGCGTTTATTATGGTGGATTCCCAATAACTGGTCTTCTAAGTATTTGTCTACTCTTACGTTTATAGCACTCACTCAAATTTAATTAAAAAAGTTTTCATTAAACATTTTGGATGGACATTTGATTAACATAACATAACAACACGCCTTTTATCCCCGAAGGGGTAGGCAGAGGTGCACATTATGCCACTGTACAATGTGACACCCACTTTTCACTATTTATGTTATGTGTCCCATGTAATAGGGGGTGAGCCTATTGCCATATATCGAGCACATTTTTAGAGTCCGTGCTACTACTGAGATTTTTTTAAAAACCCTGTAATTCTTTGCTCGACCCGGCAATCGAACCCGAGACCCCTTGCCCGGCAGTCGCAATTGCGACAACTCGCCCAACGAAGCAGCCACTCGGCCAATGAAGCAGCCAAAACATTTGAATAACTTGGGCAAAAAGTGACTTATGATGGAGTGGAACTTGATTGGAAGGGGGAGTTTTTCATATATGTAAGTTGAAGGACTTCAGAAGACAGAAAAAAGAATATAGTCTAAGGTACGAGGGCACTTTTGATGAAGATCAAAATAGAGAGAGAAAGAGAGACTCTTACTGACTAAAAACCACCCCGTTCCATCTCCTGCACGTCAGACCGGAGCCCCGGTAACCCGTTAGGTTCTTCGGACATATTATACCTATAATGTGATGCTGACGTTCAACGTCGTTTGCCAAAATGTCAGCACTCTAATTTCCACATATCCCAGAGTGACCTGGAATCCATGCAGTCGCTATTTCTCATTATTTCAAACTAGCTTTAACCCGCGTCTTCGCTCGCGTCACAAAAGGATAAAAGTAGCCTATGTGACGTATACCAATACATACAGCGCCATCTATACCAATACTTTTGTTTTCCCTCGGGAATATCAAATTATTCCGGGACAAAAAATACCCTATTATTTAATACAGACATTTAACTTTACGTCTGCAAAAATTCAAAGCAATCGGTTTAGTAGTTACGGCGTGAAATCGGAACA